CATGGCAGGAAGTCACCGCGGGGCTGTGGGTTGTGACTGCGTATAAAGGACGTCACTGGGACTCGTCCACGGCCGGGAGCACCCACGTCCATGGCCGGGAGCACCCACGTCCACCTGCGCCTCTGTCCTTGTCTTTCAAAGCCCTGGGCTTCCAGAAGTCGAGCGTTTCACACCGGGGTTCACGGAGTTGACGAGGCTGCACAGGGTTCCGGGGCATCCAGCGCTTTGCTCCGTGACGCCCCGCACGCACCTCCCACCACTGCCATCTCGAGGTCCCTGCATGGATGCTTGTCACACGTCTGCTGCAGCGACAGCCTGCCATCGGCTGCTGGCATCAGGGAGAGTGTGACCCCGGTCCGGGCACTGGCCAGCAGGAGGTGGCCGGTCACCCAGGACCCTGTAGGCGTGTGGTGTCTTTGGGATTCTCCGACGTCCTTTGGCTTAGCTTATGAGCTTCAGCCGTTCCAGATCCTTCTGGACAAGCGTTCCTTCTTACCTCGGCTTCTCGTTACCTAGATTTATCCAAGTTTTTTAAGTTGGAGAACAAATAGACAAATTTAGTTGGAGAACAAATAGAACAAATTTCCTTTAAAAATTAAAAAGAAATTTCTATTGGAGCCGACCCCCGGCGCTGCAGTGGTTTCCGGTGTGCGGCGGAGCTAACGGGGCCAGGTGCCACCTGCAAACTCTGTCATGCCCGGATCCGTCGGCCTCCGGCCGCCCCTCGGGGACGGCCATCGCTTGCCCCTGAGCTCTCCCCGAATTTCCTGACCACGTCAAGGGCCTCGGTTTAATCCGCCACAGCATTCGCCACGTTCTCCTTGGTCAGCGGAGGTTCACGCTGTCCCTTTGTTGACGGGGACATGGGGACATGGGGACACGGGGACACGGCCATCCGCCGCCCGAGTTCTTCCTGTTTTAGGACACCGCGCTTTCCTCCGCCTGACGGAGTTTTTCTGTGAGTGCTAAATAAATCGTTTTCGGTTCTTCTAAGCCCCATCCACCTTTCTGGAACCCTCCCGAGGGCGGCTTACCTGACACCCGCTGTTTTACGGTCCAGGTGGGACCTAGATGTCCCGCCGACACGGGGGTGGGGGGCTGGCAGACGCTCCTGACCCTTCCCCACCCCGACGCCCCCCTCCACCAGCGCGGGCCGGGCCCGCGTCACACGCCCCCGTGTGGCGGGGACGGTACGAGGGACACACCGGGACGGGAGGAGGGGTACCGGCCGGGCCGAGCTCCACAGCCGCGGGGCTGGGGACAGGACGAGCTCGGCTGGGCTGCGGCGGCCTGCGAGAGTCAGTCTTCTCTGGGAGCGGAGTCTGCTTTGTGTTTTGTTATTATCTTTAAGCGTGGCGTGCACCACCCTGTGAAGACGCGTCTTTGCCCCCTGGCAGGCTGGCGTGTCCACTGAGTTCTGGACGGGGGGCCTGGGTGGCACATTCTG